CACACACACACACACACATATATATATATATATATATTNTACACACACACACACACATATCATATATATATATATATATATATATACATATATATATATATATTATAGACCAACTCACTTTGGCATCCGTTTGATCTGAGTGTGCGGCCTGTTCCACGCTTTTCATGACCTTATTGAATGCACCTCTCGCCTTGAACGACCCGCTCCTCTGCTCGCTTTCCAGTTTCAAGTACACCTTGGCGCCACCCCCGCATGCTGCACTGAGATAGTGCGAATACTCTAAGGGGGTGGTGTAGATGTGTGATGAGATGCGTTCTTGTGCTTCGAGTACAGCTGTGTATACATCATTCTCGACTGAAATTGTCATGTTCACAGCCCAGTGTTCCAGGCCTTAATATGACTGATTTGATACGGTTGCTCTGACCTGTACCTGAAGCTACAGTAATTCTTTTTATACACAGTTCCTTTTAGCCCGGGTATACTGGGATTTTATGAGGACCTATATACTACAGTAAGTTTTCTTCGTGCTTCAATGCGTATCTGTAATACTGCACATTATACTCTTCTTAGCAATATCACGTTGCAATCTTTAACCCTGTATCTCTCTCTTTAAATCTAAACGCGATGTGCACAACTTCATATTTATTTACTCTCGGGTGTGAGCAATATAGCTTAGTTTGTGAGGTGTGAATCTATAATAATTAGTACAAACCCAAAACCCTAGATCCCATTTGATGGGTCGATACCAAAACCCTAAACCCAAAATAAATCATAAAACCCAAGAGATGATGGTGATCAAAGTCTGCGTCGTTCATACTTCCATTTGTACCCCCCTAAGCCCTGTGGCCTTCCTACGCATTACACTTTCCGCAATAGCCAACTCTTATAGTAGAGTGGCGGGTACAGTACACTTTGTATGTACACACATAGCTATTATTTGTGCACCTGTATCCGAACCGTTTGGTGGACTTGATCGTTTAAACCTGGCATAAAGTGTTCGAGATCTCATGTCGGCGTTTTTTGATCAGATTACTAACAACTCGGCAAGTATCATCAGCACATGCAACTCACGACTCGACTTGGTGGGTGTAAACAAGATATACTCGTCCTATCATCGTAGTATTCACTCGGAAATACATAGATATGAGTATTTAGAGTATAGCAAGCACCGTATCAATACTTGGTTATAAAATCGGCTGGCAAGTAGATTAAATTACGGGTAGACATGCGTATTCGGCGTGTGCTCCGCACTTATTGATTAATGTGATCACACTAGCATACAATGGGAGATAAGAAAACGCCCGCTTCTACGGGGAATAATCATGCCAAGGAAGGATCAAAGCCCACACCAGCTACCACACATATCACCACACGCTCTCATCAGAAAGCTGCGGCTTTGAAGAAAGCCAATGGTACTCACATTGGTGATGGTAGTATCGGAGATGCAAGTACAAACACAAGCACAGACACGCCATCTGTTTCTGTATCTGCAAATCAAGCACAAATAGCTGGGAATAGTGCACCATCGGTGGGCGTAGAGGGGAGTTTGGTATCTACAAGTGATGCTGCAGATGCAGAAGAGTCGACTTTGCCACAGTCAGATGGAGGTGCAAGTGTAGTGAAGGATGCTCCTGCGCCGGCTGGTACTAAATCGCAGACCGCACCTGCTGGACTGTCTGAAAATACAGCAAGTACGCACACGGGCGGGATATCCAGTACAACAAGAAGTAGAACCACTCGAACTTGCCAGGCTGTAGCTGCGGGTGTGGCTGAGGCTGCAAGGGGGGTAATGGGACAGAGTATTGTACAGAGTACTGTACTGGCAAGCACAGAACAAAATAAGTCAGCACTCAATAATAGTCCGGCGCAAAGACCTGTGAATAGTATACCGAATGAAGATACTGGTACACCACCGACGGCGAATACTACTACAGCCTCGAGTGTAGTTACAAACACCACGGCGCATGCGAACACGGGTACAAATACAAACACAGCTACAAATACACACATAAATACTGATACAGATACAGACACAAATACATCCACCGATACGCAAAATACTGCTATCGTAGGAACGAACCCAAGTATTGATAAGAAGGGAGAGGCTCAAGTTGGTACAAATGCATCGCAGCCGAATGTACCTCGCACAGATGCTAGTGTGAATGTATCGGATACACCTACCGTGATAGTAGCACCGGGCCCGACGCTCCCAGCGGACACTATGGCAACCACGAACCCGTACCAGATGCCTTCTCGCCAGGTGTGTATGACAAGAGATAACAATGTTGTTTGAATATTAAACATGTTTTTTTTGGATATGTATATATAGTCCATGCACACACACACACACCCGCACACACATACACACACATACACACACACACACATACATACAT